GGGGGGAGGGGGGGGGGTCGGGCCGTTCCCCGCACACCTCGTGCGCCGTGCGGGAACGGTCAGGCCCGTGCGCCGCACGTCGGGAAACTCGCGCACGACGTGCGCTTGCAAGTATGGTCTGACGATGATGCCTCCCTCGTATCCTCACTCGATGTTCACTCACACACAAGATTTCAGCTGCGCTTCCACAACACGAGCCCGTGGAAAAGATGTTAATCCACAACCTCCGACTTTTGGACTGGTACCCTCACTTGTTGGCTGCGGTTGGCCTGTTGATGCATACGGAATGTTCACCGACTCTCTTGGGGGTTGACATCTATCATAGCAGCGTATGTTTAGCTGGAACCGCTCCACTTTCTTTTGCCCTTCAAGGAGAGAAAAAAACTCTTAAGCCACCACTACCTTTCATAGGCAAACGCAAAGTCCATCTAGTAAGTAGCCTACTCCTGAAAACATGGGGGCGCGGGGCAGGGTTGGAGGCCGACGGAATAAAAATTAAAAAAAGAAGGAAAAAAACAAAAAACAACAGCGAGTTTCGAATCCAGGGATGTCGGGAAAGGCCCTCACGAGGGTGGAAGTTACACCAGTGCTTTGAGGAATATATCTGGCCACTATGTGGGGAAGTAGATTGCTGTTTTTTTTTTTTTTTTTTTTTTCATGTCGTTGTAGTGCCCTGCCAGCCAGGCAGGGCATGGTTCACGCGTGGCATGTAGCTGTCTCAATGCTGTAGCATCCTGTATCCGCCCTCAATCACAGCATAAAGGATGCTTTTTTTTTTTTTTTTTTTTTAATCTGATGTTCGCACACATCCTCACTGAGGGCACAGTCTTACGATCACCTCATAGAATCTATCTGGTCGTGATCAAGGCGTTCGGGAAGTTTCGTTTTCCTTTTTTTTTTTTTTTTTTTTCTCCCAAGGGCAACGGCCTTGAGATCTCATCATCGGACTGACTGACGCTAGGTAATTCAGAATGACTTTATTCCGGTCATCTTGTTTGATGGGGATTCGAACTTGGGTCTGTATTTCAACAGTTCACGGGTGTACCAACTGAGCTAAGCCCGTTGGGAAGTTTCGTTTTTATCTTTCTATTTCTTTTTCTTTTTTTTTTTCCCCTTGTTCCTTCTTGGATGAAACTGCCCCGTCTCAGCGAAACTCGGTGCGCAGTTAAATCAGGCTTGGCAAAAACAGGATCGGAGGTAGTGGTGCTTTTAAGGAAGTTTTGAATCATAAGTTCATTCTTTTTATTATTTTTTTTCCATGTGTTCATCTCGATCTTTATTTCTGTATATCTTTTCTGCTGCACGTTGGAATGCGGTTATGAAGCTTCTTATTTTTAAATTTTAATTCAGAACAGAAGTTGTGACTGGCATGTTACTAGCATTGAGTCAGTTATGTGCCATGCGTGAAACACGCCCTACGTGTAGGTTTTTTGTCTACTACTTTCCGAAATCAATGTTTCCACCTACGTGTAGTTTTTTGTCTACTCTCTCTGTACCCTTGGCTGCGTACAGCCGAATGCAAAAACCTACGCGTACCTATGTATGAAGAATGCAACATTGTTTTTTACTCTTTTTTCATAAGAGTTTCTCTTTTTTCATAAGAGCACATCAACACTAGGACATTCTTGACTGAATCTGAGTGTTCTCGCAGGCAGGTGCAAGCCCAAGAATGCCCTGTCACAGAAAACATCCTACGCCTAAAAAACACCCTTTTCCACATGTCTCTGAATTTCATTGGCGGCCACAATAATGGCGAGGTTCAGGCCTTTTTTTCAGAGTGCTTCCAAGGTGCGAGGCTTTCCGGGGCATAGGGCATTTTCAAGAGCTCGATTGTTCTGAAGGGACATAGTGATCATACTTGCCGTCACTGTGCAGGGATGTGCTTTATTCTTGTATGTCACATATCAGGGGGTCGTCGTCGTCGGAGAGAGAGAGAGAGAGAGAGAGAGAGAGATCAAACAGCTAGTCCACTTTCTTATCTTTGATTTGTGAATGTGGAGTAGCCATTAAATTGTATCGGACAGACAACTACTACAATTTTACTTGACATCGCACCCTTATCAGGAGTGTATCGGGCCAGAAAGATAGGATGTATGCATTCATGTTCAGGGTGTGTTGTGTTGGGCCCCACAGGTGCGCTCTGCATGCGCACTATGTGCCCTGCAACGATGGTGGAAGGGGACGTGTGGAGACCGTAAACCATTAATAAATTAGTTATAGTGTGGTTGGAGAAATAACCTTTGCTCCCCAACACCTCTGCCTTCAGTGTGGAACGTTTTCTCATCTCCATCAAATTCTTTGAATATTTGCAGAAGAAGTCTCAAGTAGCAAAAATCCGGAGAGGATCAGGAAAGACTGGAAGTTAAAAGTTGAAGCAATGTGAACCCCAGAATGCCTTGTGGTCTGAACCAGCCAAACAACAATGGTTTATTTATGGGGGCTATGCTTTTTGGTTGCGTTCTTATTGTGCGGCCTGTCTCCAGGTATGGCCTCCGAAGAATCCAAAAGACGTTTCGTCAACCCTCAGCGCCAGAATACGGGAGGTCGTTGCAAAGGTGAGCTTTTGGCAGTTCTGTTTCCTTACCTCTTCCTTCATTCCCTTTTTCTGTCGGGAGGCTAGGAAGGGGCAGGGGAGGACATGATGGTAGCAAAAAAATTCTCTCTCTCGAGGTGGCATGCCTTGGCCACCCACACGGGCTGTACGTGCCCGACTTTGGACTTGAAGGCCTTGAGGCAAAAGGTCTCTCTCTCTCCCTCTCCCCCCCCTCTCTCTCTCTTCTTGATCTTCTCCACTCCTATCTGTCCGTCTCCTCTGTCCTCAACTAGAAGAGGTCAGAGACCTGACGACTATTTCCGGGAGGGTATGCCCCCCAAGGTCTGGACTCGGCATTTTATTTGATGCCGATTGTGGGACTTGGAGAGAGATTATTATTCTGCGGCTGCTACACTCGAGTTGTCATTCTCTTCTTCTGGCTTCTCCCATACTCCGTCTCCATCTCCCACCTCTACCATCTATGGATCTTCTTCCTATATATGTGTGTTTTGCAAGGAGGGCTCTTTGGTCGATGTATGCTGTCCCTCCTTGCACCCAACCTTATGCTGATGTTTATGTATGTTGAGTCGCGAGTCTGATGAGTCAGGTCGCTATTTTTCAGTCTGGCACTGCTTTGCATTGTTGTTTCTTATCATGTTGGATCATGTATGCTTGCCAAGGTAATGTGAAATAATTGTGCTGAACAGATCAAAGTGGATTCAAGTTGGTATGCTTACCTGTCAGAGAGTGGGTGGCAGATCATATGAATGATGTTTTGTTGCGGACTTCAAGTCTGGGTGAGGTGATGAATTTTTCCCTTCTTCATTTGGTGGGGGCTTATCTGGCTTCGCCCCACTTGAGCTGAGGTCGACAAAAGAAGTGGATGAAGAAGTAGAAGATGAAGAAGAAGAAGAAGAAGAAGAAGAATGAAAAGAAGAAGAAGAATGAAAAGAAGAAGAAGAAGGAGAAGATGAAGAAGATGAAGAAGGTGTGTTTGCGGTTGATTCGGAGTATTGGGATTGCTACCATGCTGCAGAGGAGCTCTGACAGGTGGACTTGTCAGGGCTGGCAGACCTCAGTGGACAGGTGAATGCTTGGTAGAAATCAAGAGGTCAGAAATTCAAATCCATCGGGAACACTTGTTTGTTTGTCTCCCTTGTTTGTTTTCTTCTTGCCTTGTGGCCGGCTGGTGGTCCCCACACTTTTTGATGAAAAGGTCACAAGTATGAATCCTTCTCGTAAATTTTGCTCTGGATCAGGGTTGCATCCCTGCCGACCGCCGACCAGTCAGAAAACAACCATCCACTGAATTTTTTTCAAATCTGAGTTGGGGGCTGTACTGTGCTTGCTGAGTACATCCAAATCCGCTGAGAAACTTTTGGGGATGGGGGGTTTGGGGTTGGGGTATAGGGGGTATAGGGGTGATATAGGGGGTATTGGGGTGGGGGGGTAATAAGGGTGTTGGGTGCGGTTTCGGGGTGTTGGGGGGGTGTATGGGGGTATTGGGGGCCGCTATGGGGGTGGTGGTGGTGTCACGGGTGCCGACGACCCCCGACCGGTAGGTGGCGACCAGCCGATCGGTCGGCAGGTCGGTAGCTGACCAGTCAAGGGCTGCCGACCGTCGGGTGGTGCAATACTGCTCTGGACACATTAGTTGTGGGTACTATAAAGGGAATACAACTTCTTTTACTCTCTGTTATGCTTATTTCTTTCAGAAGGACAAAGGTTGTCTTCCTTTTGATGCCCGAAGCTGTCGTGGAGGGCCGAACTTGCTGAGAGCAGCAGAGACCTGTGACCCCCGCATTTTTGGACTCTGCATTGTGCCTTGTTTTGCTGTTCCGTGTCATCAGGTTGAAATGGCACGGCATTTCTTCTCTGGCCTTAGCTGGATTTCTTTTGTTCCTTCTTCTCTCCCTATTGATGCTTCCCGCTTAGATGGCTTCGGTCAAGCTTGGAATGGATAATGCTTTTTTGCTAGGTTACCAATGGTCCGGGGGCCGGTCGTCTCCCCCGGACGTCTCCCCCATACGTCCGGTACCCCTGTCGTCCGGGAAAAAAAAAAAAAAATTCCGTAAAAAAAAAATATATATATATATTTTTTTCGGTTTTCGATTTTTAACTCATGATTGACTGCGAACTTGAACATGCCTCCAAGGCAAAAGTTGCTTGTATTGTTATGTTACATAACATATATTTTTTTTCAGATTTTTCTGAGAACTTTTTTTTTTTTTTTTTTTTTTTTTTTTTTTGCGCTAGGTCGGACAACCCCTGTCCAGTCGGACGTCCGACCAGACGTCCGGTTGGACATCCTGGACGGTCAGGGGGGTCCCGGATGTCCGATCCAACAACCTAGCTTTTTTGGGTAAAAAAATGAAACAAGTTTTGATAAAGTTATTTGAAGTCGCTTTGTTGTGGTTCTTTTTTTCCCCCCCCCCTTGACAAATTGGATTAGGTTGGGTTGGGTGGGGCCTTGGGATGGGTTGGGTTGGTGGGTTTATCAAAACGATGACGAACGAAAGGGTATCGAATCCTATCGATTCATTAAACAGTCGATTTGGTGCTCTGCAAAAAGAAGAAAAAAGGCCCATTGGCTGTCTTCTTATGTTTCGGATGATCTGGGCCTTTGGAACACCCATTTAAATTGGAACAGTGCAGAGAAGATTATTATCGTGCCCCCGTGCGAGGATGACACGATAAAATCGAGAGAAATGATTCAAATGATTCATTTGACAAGACAATCTCGACAACCCAATTGGAAGGCCTGGACAAGCCCCTAACCCTAGCTGAGCTACATGTAGGCCTGACCCAGATGGGAAATGACAAAGCTCTGGGCGTTGACGGCCTCTCAAAAGAATTTTGGAGCTGCTTCTGGCCGACCCTAGGAGAGGACCTGCTCGATTTCTTCAACGACAGCAGGCAAAAATAGGCCTAGGCAATGAACTAAGCACCAGTGTGGTATCATTGCTGCATAAGAAAGGAGACAAAGAAGACCTAAAGAACTACAGACCCATGTCACTCACCACTCCCTACAAAATCCTCGCTAAGGCTCTTGCGAATAGAATCACAAAACTAACGAACAAATGCTTTCACGTCGACCAAGCAGGCTTTATCCTGGGCCGGTACATAGTAGACTACGTCACGTCGCTGAATGAGGCAGCAAAGAAGATCGCAGAAAAACGAATGAAGGCTGCAGTCCTGTTTTTCGACGTTGAAAAGGCCTACGATCAAGTCAATTGGGATTTTCTCCATGCCTGCATGGAGAAAATGGGAGTAGGCCCGAACTTCAAAGATTGGGTGCAAGTCCTTTATTCAGATGCAACAGGCAGAGTCCAGATCAATAGGAGCCTATCGGAGACCTACCCGATGTCAAGATCGGTCAGACAAGGCGACCCATTGGCTCCGCCCATATTCCTCTTCCTTATGGAAGCCATAGCTTCCTTCCTTCGGAAAGATCCATCCATTGACCGTCTCACTGAACGCAACTTCAGTCCATTACACGACTTCGCTCTACCCTCTGCACTAATGTCCACCGATGACCTTACGGTCCTCATTCGCGCCAACAACGTTCTTTCCAAGCCCTCGTAAGAGCAATGGAAGTCTTCAGACTGGCATCAGAAATGAAGGTCAACTGGGGCTGGAGGCTGGTGGCTAGCAGACGGCACCCCTCCCCAACCAACCGATACAGCCACACCCATGTCATGAATGGTGGGAGATCAAGCACTACATTTCCTTGGTATCATGGTTAACAAGGACGGACGGGGTATGGGCAGGTATGGGTCAGAACCTAGTGGCCAGGGCAATCACCCGCTTGGCCCCATGCAAAAACGCCGAGGCTTCACTAATTAGACGAGCCCTACGAATTAACACGGCAATTTTCTCCACACTGTGGTACATGGCATCCATCTGGTCTCTTGCTGACGACGACCTCAAGACGTTAAAGAACAGGGCGAGATGTTATCTATGGACAGGAGACCCGAATGGGACCACATGTATCAATAGGGTAGCCCGGAACCACATGTTTAGGAAACCACAGGAGGGGGGCCTTGGGCTAATTGACCGCAAACACACTCCATAGCACTGCAGATGAAATGAATTATCAAGATCCTGATTAGACAATTCATTCCATGGACCCAGATGGCTCTAGACAACATCAGAAACCTAGCACCCATCAACTCCCCCCTCCGGATATGAGAGGCATCTTTTCGTTAATTGCGAAGGACTGGACAATCAAATCAGGCAGACATCGCAGAAGCAACCCAGCAGAGCCTATCGCAACCCCCACCCAAACAGCGATCTCATACTGGAGCCCTACCATCAAAAGCCTGGTGCAGAATGATGCCAACCAAACACGGTACACCAGGAAACAGAGAAGGGGTCCTAAGACGACCTCTCTTCTGCAACCCCTGGATCATAGACCCTAACGGAGTGCCATGGACACTACGCACAAAGGACCGGAGAGGTTGTCCTGGGTGGAAAAAGAGGTGAGGCAGATGAAACACATGTGGCCAGAAGATCTAGGGCGATGATCTACAGAACAGGAGCTCCGAAACGATTTAAAAGGCTGCCACTCCCTTACTGAAAACCTAACATTTTTTTTTCAGAAGAGCATTCCAACACAGTGGCTCTCCCTCCTAAGGGAGGAATTTTCGTGGAAGTCCGGGGGTTGGGGCATGCTCATCTCCCAATCTCAGCCTACCAGAGCATAGCAATTCGAATCTCTCGAACCAACCCACTCAGCTATCTATCTAAATTCTATTCATACCCCTTCACTAATCACAGCCTAGAAGAGCTGGAAATCCTGAACAAAGAACCTCAGTCCGACAGCATACTAGAAACCTTCCGACATACTAGAAAATTGAGGGTCTCAAAGGCGAAGCCCTGGAAAATCTTCCAACTGGATCTTAGCATTTAAAACCTCGAATTCGGCCTGAAAGAGCGGGTCTGGAAGCAGGGTAAGTCAGGGAAAACGAGGACGATATTTGAATATGATGTTAAATTCGGTTATGACCTGGGTCTACAGACCACAGATTCGGACTCCAGACTCAAAGGAAAATGGAGGGAGATTCTGAATCTAGACCCCACGGACCTCATTTTCATCCCTTGGACGAAGTACCTGTCTATTAGACCGGTTAGGATCCGAAGTATGCAGTGGCTCGTAGCACACACATCTCTGCCTGTCAATCAATGGCTCCACAAGAGGAGGAAATATACGGACCCTGACCTCTCCGAATTATGCAGGTTGTGCACAGACAACATCCCGGACGATATACCCCACTGCCTCCTGTGTTGCACTGAAGCAGCATGGATATGGAACAAGGTGCACAACCTATGGTCCCTCCTCTTCTCATCACCCCCTCCGTCCACAACTCCTCTGAACATCCTGCTCCTATCCAACAATACTAACAATCTCAAAGGAGGCAAGGAAGTCTGGTTTCACCTGCTCAGGAAGCTGGCTCTATGGGTAATCTGGAAAAGGTGTACCAAGACTATCGAGGGTACGGAGGTGGCAAGGGAAGAAATGTGGGTTCTACTGCTGGGAATGGCGGAAACTGAGATTCGATCCAGATGGAGGGAGGTGACATCAACAATGAAAGTCAGACCAGAAAGACTAGCCACCAAGAGACGGTCTTTCTTGAGAAACTGGCTTCTACAGGGAAGGATTGGAACTGTGGCAGATAACAGATTGATTTGGAAGAAATGGCACAGTGCAATTCCAGCAAGGACAATGACCCACTGATGGGCAAAATGAGATTACAATCTCAACAATATAGACAACTCTCCTCTTTTCTTGCTTTACAAGAACCATCTGACAGAGTCGCAGGAGATTCTGAGAGGAAAAGTGGTAGGGCAAGCTGACAGTCGATCCTCCTGCTCTGGAGCAATCAATGCTGCTCCGGGTTCCTTCGGCCAGACGGAAGGAAGCGTGAGAGTGTTCACCATGTATTTCAACTCTTCACTTGCTGGTGGAAAGGAACCGGAATGACGCTCCCCAGAATGGATATGGAGGCAGGACCATAAGGACCTGTTTCAAAAAAAAAAAAAAAAAACAGAGGCGTATGAGCGAAGAATATAGCTTAGTTAAAAAAAAAAAACCAGAAATGAAGTAAACACCAACAAATGAAGTAAAGCTCGCAGTTTCCAGTCCTCTGAGGACCTCCTGACAAGTCCTATCTTGGTGTGCAGAGCTCTGTGGGTCAGACGATTCTTGGTGGAGACATGAATCTCAACTCCACAACGAAGGATGCACAGCCACCACCATCAGCATTCTCTACGGCGCCGTTGTCGGAGCCGCAGGTGAACACAGATAGCGCAACAGCTGGCGCAGGTCCGTCCACAACTGCATCGGTTTATGGAAATGGAGAAGCATCCCGCAGTCCAGACAGTGCCGCACTGCCAACCGACAGTGCGACGAGCGATATGGAGGACTGGTCAGATCGAGGAAGGCTAGGGAGAGGATCGCTCAACGGAGTAGCAGCGGCCGCAGCAGAAGCAGAGAAAGCCGCAGCATCTGTCACCGCAGCGGCCCCAGGAGCAAAGTCAGCTCTTCCGACACCGTCACCTTCAGCGCCACAGTCATCATGGATGGGACCCCAGGTGAGAAACTTGAACTTCGATCAATATAGTTTTAAGAAATCAAATGTCAGATTTCCAAGCCTCATTTGTCTGCCGACTTTGACTCTTGACTTTGAACACAAGGCCAGAGTCAGAGTCAGTGTTAGAGTATGACAATCATCATGATGACATCCATGAAGACACAAGAATCTGCATTCCGGTGGAAGTGTTTCTTGCTTTCTCTGTCAGTTAAAATGGAATGGAATGATACACAACAGAGGGGCAAATTAGGATGGGCCTTGTGTAAGGTGCATGAATGACTGGTTTTGAGTTCGGAAATGGTAAACTCGTATTTGTTAAGGAAAAAAGGAGAGGAGAGGACCTTTTGCAAACCCTGGAACCCCTTGTATTGTATAGACTTTGTATTATAAGTTTGTAACGTATCGAGGCTTTTTTTTTGGTACTTTTTTTTTAAGTTTTTGGTTTGTTTTTTTTTTTTCGTGGTTGTTCGCCAATTTCTTTGACTACGTTATTCAAAAATTTTGGATTCATTTTTAAGATTGTAGTCTCCGAAATATGTTGCGGAGTACAGCTCTGCTCCCTCCGATGCCTGGACGCACAGTGTTCCGTGCTGAACATGTTCTAGGCGACCACCGGGTATGCCTCTCGCCACACCCTTCTCCCTATCTCAGAAATATTCTCCCTATAGGCTTCCTCTGTGTAGGATCTCCTTGCCACTCACCACCTCCACCCTCCAAGGGGCAGAGCCCAGCTATGGCTTATGCTGCCTGCCTCCACGCTCGCCCACTCTCTGGTCCACTGGGCAGTGCTTGTGCTGCTCTCAAGGCACATGTGTGCTTCTGTGGCTTAGCGCTGTCTGCCAAATTGCAAAAGCTCCTCAGACAGCCGCAGCCACGTCCTTTATGCCAGCCTTTGGGGTCTGGGTAGACTAGTAGGCACTGCCTTTCCCATCCCTTCAGGAAGTGGCAGCGGCCTGCGGGGATCCCAGTTACTTGGCCCGGTACCCTGACCAGTGTGACCACCGTCCTTTTTTCGAAACAGGCTAGGCTACATGTTTCACAGCTGGGCCTTTGCGTTAGGCCCCGGCAACCTCTTGTCGGCGGGGTCGTCACTCTGTGCCCTTCCAGATTGCGTGCGGGAAGCCCCTACGGCCTCACGAGTGTTATTTCATATGAAGAGTGAGACTATTAGACTATGTAAGTAGTATTCATTGACTGACAATTCTTTTCTGGTGATTGCAGGTAGCTGCTGTAGCCAGGAAGGTACCTGCTCGAGGTGAAAGACATTCCATGGACGTGGAGGATGATCACAGAGATCCTGATAGAAGTGAGATGAAGTATGCGCGAAGAGGTGAGTTTGTTCGGCGGCAGCTTGACAGAAGACGCGTGAGTTTTGTCCTTCTCGTCGCCCACCGGGCAATGTACAAAGGGCCTTTTAAGCTCAATCGGTTCCGTCTTGGCAGAAAATGTATACTCTGGGCAATCTGGACACACAGAGGTGTACTCACGACTGGATAGAAGTTATGATCCGAGGACAGGAAGTATACCAAGGCATACTTGATTTTATTTGCACTGCTGTAAATGTAGCGTGAGCTCAAGGACAGGTCTGTAGCCAGAAAATGGTATTTTGAGCTCAAGGCCCCCCAGTCCCCGCATGGACTGGTGGCCCCTCCTTCAACCGGGAGCCTGCTGGTTGGACCCGGCGGTCGACCGGCCCGGCATATCCCCGGCCCAACCGTTGCGCTGGGGGGCGGTGGGCAGTACCAGGGAGTCACGGGCATCCCCGCGATTGCCCAGACCCCGGGAGGCTGCTGGCTTTGTAAAAAAAAAAAAAATTGGGGCCTTTTGGACCCACTTCTTGAAAAGAAGCAGCAATGGAGAAAACCACCACACATGTTTTTCATGATGTGGGGTCCAGTAGGCCCTGGTTTTCGAATTTGGCAATGTATGGTCTGATGGAGCATGGATCAGACACAAGGAACAGGTCCTTATACTCGTCCAGCGTGAGTCAGGAGGATGAAAAGGAGGATGAACACGATATACTTTGCGTTGGGGCTTTCTGAAATTATATTCTTCTTCGATGTCGCTACGCTCCGGGAAAGAAGTTGGGAAAGAAGTTATGGGTTTGCGTTTCGTGAAGTCAGAATAGCAATGCTGTCCGTGGTGCAAACCCAAGAATGGACCTCAGCTGCACTACATGTATCTGGACAGACTTCCAGGCAAGACACTTTCGGACTGATGAACCACCGTACATAGAAAAATCCACACAGAAAAGGCTCTGCCTTTCACGAGCTGAAACCTGAACCCATAACTTTTCTGCTGTTGACATATAATCTGGGAGAGCTAAACCTTTTGGCAAGGACCTCATGTCAGCATCTGTCTCTGGGCCTCTTGAGTGTTGTGGGCTATATTTAATGATGTAGTGCATGATATCTTACAGTGCTGAATTGAAATCTTCACTTGGGGGTCGAACAACTAAGCTTGTTTACTTGACCCCTCCGCATGAAAGTCCTATGTCCCTGGACCCACCTCAATAATACCGCCCTCCCAACGCCCCCGGGAACCCCCCTGAAAAAAAAAAAGCATCTCCAAAATTTTATTGCGGATTTGGACAGATCTTGAAGAGCGCAATGGAAATCCGCAGAAAAAAAAAGGGCATTTTTTTTCAAAACCGGTTTTCCGGTACACCCCCTCTGCTTCGGCCCGGGTTGATCTGGGCGAGCTGAACCGGCCGGTTGCCGGCCCAGCCTTGACTTTGAGAGCAATGGTTTGGCGTTCCAGAAAGGGGGCAGATTGTGGATGTACAGCGAGGTGCGGCGAAGCTGCTACAGCAATCCCTGAAATAATAGCCGGAGTCCTGCCATCGGATAAGACATCCAGGCGAAGTTAACTTGGGGGGGGGGGGGGGGGCGGTGCGCGAGGCAGTTGGAGGGGGGGGAGGGGGGGGGGGGGGGGGGGGGGGGGGGGGGGGGGGGGGGGGGGGGGGGGGGGGGGGGGGGGGGGGGGGGGGGGGGGGGGGGGGGGGGGTCCGGGGCGAGGGGTACGCAGCACCACCCCCCATCCAACTCCTCTCGGTACAACTGTCTTGCTAGGGGTTGGACTACTGCAACTGGAACCCCCTGGTTCCTTTCCTCTTCTCCTCTTTCCCTTGGTCTTCCCTTCCTCCCGACCAGCCAACTCCCAGCCAACTCCCTGGTATGCCCAGGTCTAAGTTGCCCTTGCAGCTCTCAGATGCTTCGAAGGTTAGCTTTGTCGGGATGTATTATTATGGCAGTACTTTGGCTATTGTTTCAGGGATTGCTGTGTGACAGGCCAACTAACGATTCTTCTATGTTTGTCTTCATGAAAAAGAATGTACCACGAACGTTGTCATAAGCCAACGGCTTTTTAAGAAAAGAAAAAAAGAAAAAAAAAAAAGAAAAAAACTAAAACGAACGAAGCGGCACTTGGCGCGATACGAAGTGACTGAGGCATTGAATGCTTGGTGGGCCTGCTTCCAAGGATGTGTTACTCCCCATGAAAAAAGGGTTTTTTAACTTTTTTGAACTTTTTCACTACGCTGTTTTTCTTGCCATGCCAGGCAGCTGGGCGTGTCGCCCCGGGGATCTGACACCCGCTGTCCCCGGACGTGGGAATAAGAAGTCTTTTTTTTTTTCTTTTTTTTTTGAGACAACGGCGGATGTGGCAGGTTTTGAGTTCGTAAAGGGAAAAAAAACACGCGCTGGCAAAGAAATAAGGCCATGACGCCTCGAGACGGCAATTTTCGGTCCTGACGTATTCGTTGGGCTTTTTTTTTGTTTTTTTTTTGCCCCATCTGACACCTGCTTACCCCTGTAAAATATGGCACGCGGACTGACACCACGGTCGTGGTACTTCCATTGCCCTTTTTGAACTCGCGTGCGGTTTCTTTGCCGACGCGTGCTTTTTTTGCCTCTTATGAAACTCTGATGTGACATGAAGGTACTTCCCTCTTTTCTTGTGGGGGGGGGGAGGGGGACTGGTGGGCAGGTGGGGTTTTCTGTGCATGCCCAGAGGCGCCCAAATTCGGGCTGTCTTCTGTTTTCAAGTGTTGGCTGTCAAGGTGAGGGGGTGGCGGGGTATAAACTGGTTTTAAAGGGGGGAAAGGGGTTTAAACGGGGATGCCTTAGTGTGATTCTGTTATTTCCATTTTTATCTCTGATTCGGAGAGGAGTTCTGATGTGACCCTCGGCCGAAAGTCGTCTGTATTGTGATTCTACACTACAATTTTTTTTTGAGAATTTTTTATTTTTAATTCTTTTGCGCTGGGGCAGCCGGGAACCTGCCCCACGGGTCATGCCCACCCAGGCACCCGGGTGTGTATAGGGTTTTCATTTGTTCCCATTTTTTGGATTGATAATATTCAACTAAATAAAACAGAAGCAAATGAATGTTTTTGAACAGTTAGAAAAGGGTACCTGTTGCCGCTTCGCTTGCAAAAAAATGAAGGAGAGAAAAAAATGAGAAGAGGGTGGAGGAATGTTGCGGGGAAGTGGGGGCCCGCCGTCGAGGTAGATTTGACTCTCTCTCTTGGCATGCCCTTTCTTTTTTTTTTTTTTTTTTTTTTTTTTTTTTTTAAATAGGTCCTGATGGACCACGTATCAGATATGAAAGTGATCAGAACAGATACTACACTTGATTGTGTGGGTGGAGGGGGGCGTAGTTAGTTAGGTTTTTGTGGGGTGTCCATTAAGTAGTTAGATTGGGACTGGGGTGCTCCAATTTTCTTTTTCGTGGATCTCTCTCTCTCTCTCTCTCTCTCTCTCTCTCTCTCTCTCTCTCTCTCTCTCTCGTGAGTGCCGTTTTTTTCTTTTTTTTTTTAAAGGACTCTCGGTGGACCACGGGTCAGATATGAAAGTGATCGGCACGGAAACTACACTTGATCGTGGGGGGGCGGGGGGGTGCAGTTAGTTAGATTGGGGTCTCTCTCTCTCTCTCTCTCTCTCTTGGACAAAAAGTGGTGCCGGCGTGAGGTACCCAAAGTTGCCTGCTATCTCGGCCGTTGGGCCCGAGGTACTGGGCCAACAGCCTATATTCAGGCACAGTCTTAAGATCTTAAGACTGCATCAGTCCAGGCCGTCAGTCCGGTAGCACCCAACGGCCCAGATCGCTCAGTCCGGTAGCACCCTACGGCCCAGATCACAGATTTGTTACATTTCTTCAACGATTTGGGTCATCAGTCCGGTAGCACCGGTCGGCCCAGATCACAGATTTGTTACATTCCTTCAACGATCTGGGCCGTCAGTCCGGTAGGACCACGACACCCTGGATTTCAGATTTGTGACGCTAGAATTTTTAATAGTGTAGAGATAATCATGGGAGGCTACATTATGGGTAATCTGGAGAGGGAGATGCAACGTCACACCTGAAGACACGGGGAACTCCTGAGAAAAGTTATGGGCAACTACAACAAATCTTATCGAGGCAGAGATCTTATGCTAGCGGGAAAGCCTAGATCACGCATTCAAGGAGGCCCGGACTCAAACTCGACATTTATAAGAAAATTTCAGTGTACTTGGCTCTCAAAGGGCAAGGTGGCAGTGATGCAAGGGCTACTGTCCACACATAAGATGGAACAATCGGCACAATTCAGAATCGTCACGACAAGACGCGCACGTTTGCAGCAAGCAGAAGCCCAGGATCACACATGGACACGAGTACCGGAGGATGGGCATGTCCATAGGATGGGCTCAATTTGATTCCCGGCTTCTATCGTATCTTATACTGATCAGATTTGTGTTAGGACCTGGGAGCGGTTGGGTATGAGATGTGCAAGCTGACAGTCAGTCATCCCTCCACTTGTGGAGTCATCAATGCTGACGAGGGCTCCTTCGGCCAACCGAAAGGAAGCTTTAGTGAGTTGTATTGTAAAATCTAGACTCGCCAGTAGAAAAGGAACCCGGGTGTGCAAATGGTTAAGTGCCAATCAGCACAGATTCAGCTAACCTTGAAGTTGGGGCAGCGGCGTAGTGCCCACTGCGTGCATAGACAGGAGATGAGTCGGTGTAGCCTTGCCCGAAATAGAAGGAAAACAAAGAAGGGATATATTGAATCAACCTTCTTAAACCGCCAGTACCTACCGGTTGGGGCGGCCGTTAACACGGTAGGCGAATCGGCCTGCACCTCCGGTCCACATTCATTTGAACGCGGGGGGGGGTACGAAAAATGCGGTAGGTACTGGTGGTTTAAACCACAAGCACCTCACCCAGGCAAACTTGAGAATAAAAAATCTGACACTCCGGGTTCTGCAGATGAAGAGTGCTATGGGACCAAAATGACTGATCAGTTTAATATCTGATCCGTGGTCCATCTGCAATCAGACTCGCATACTTCGTCACTTCACATGCGTACAACCAGATGGTGAATCACACTGGCGCCTAGCGCCCAACTCAAAGCTCGAAGATATGGAAACCAAGACACAGTTCAGATGCAAGCTCGCTTCAACAGGCTGTCGCGGCCGGAGGGAGGCTGCAAGGAAGAGGAGGAGGCCAGGGCCAAGGGGCCGGGCCTCAGGTAACCGTTCCCAGGGCGATCAGGGGGTTGGCGGTAGAGGAGGAAACCGCCAAGCGGGAGGAAGGGGTCAAGGTCCCCCGCAAAACCGTTCTGGTAACCGTTCACCTAATAGGGGTAATAGGTCACCCTATAGGAGAGGTGGTTGGCACCCAGGTCTGCCACAGGGCCGACCTTGGGAGGATTTGGGCCTGGACCAGCGCGTTTGGCATCAGCGTGTGGATGAGGGGCAGTGCGTATTTTGCGGTGACCCTGGCCACATCATTCGATTTTGTCCAAAGTATAGAGAGGCCCGATGGGCTGCCCAGCAGGCAAAAGGCAGCCGCCGGTAGGGGTCGCAACTGCCCCTACCAAAAGGCCATGTGGGGAAACGAGCACGAGCCGGCAAGAAACTCCCACACCACATGAGCCTATGGCAGAGGTTGCAGGCCGGTGCCCAGATAGCTGTCCAGAGACTGCTTTTGTTAGAGTCTCTCTAGGCACTTCCCTCACAGGCGTGGCCTATTACCCCTATTAGGTGAACGGTTACCAGAATGGTTTTGCGGGGGACCTTGACCCCTTCCTCCCTCTTGGCGGTTTCCTCCTCTACCGCCAACCCCCTGATCGCCCTGGGAACGGTTACCTGAGGCCCCGGCCCCCTTGGCCCTGGCATCCTCCTCTTCCTTGCGGCCTCCCTCCGGCCGCGACAGCAGCGTAAGTCCTCCCCTGACTGGCGCCACTGTCCTCTTGCTCCGATACCGCATCGGACCACATTAAAAAAAAAAAAAAAAAAGACTGGCGACACCAGCCAATAAAATGATCATATAATTTGCAATAAAAATAGATAGTATTATTCAGTCTCAGAAGAAAATTTAATAGAATAGATGAAAACAAAGATAAAAAAAGTAATTCATAAGTGATTTTTGTTATATTATTTTAGATAGTACAAATTGCCGCTGTCCGGACCAGCCAAAAGCAAACAAGAATGCCTCCATGGAGGTTAGGCTTTTTTGGCATGCAGGGGGGGGGCCACCTTCGGAAAATGAGGGCTGGAGGTACTGGTTGTTTAAAAGCTTTTGATTTTGAGATCCCAGAGACTTCATCAGCATCTCATTTCCTCTCTTTTACGTTGATCTGTTTTTTTGTTTTTGTTTTTAATGTTTTTTAAACTTTTTTTGAAAGCTCAGATTATTATTTATTATTTTTTAGTATGTAGTGCTGCACTTTTTTCACATTAGTTGCGTTTGTTAAAATTTATTTTTATTTACTTCAACGTTAGTTGCCTTTATTATTATTTACCTCTTTATTGACCTCAACATTTAGTTAGTTGCCTTTATTTTTATTTATGTCACTTCCATTACGTGTATACCATTCAGCCACGACGCGGAAGCAAAAAATTCTGAAAACTAGCACAAATTAATAATTATTATGCTGTCTGCCTCTGTGACTCTGTCCCTTGCATTTGATTTGAGCGTCAAGCTTCAAATACCAAATTATTATCCTCCTGATGTTTGCCTTTTGTTTCTTCCCCTTCGCTCTTCTTCCTCCTCCCCCCCCCCCCCCCCCCCCCCCCCCCCCCCCCCCCCCCCCCCCCCCCCCCCCCCCCCCCCCCCCCCCCCCCCCCCCCCCCCCTTCACCTTTCTGGCCCCTTACCCTCACAGGTCCGTCGTCCATTGCTTGCTTGCCCAGTAGGTTCTTGTGTCTACTGCTACTCGTATAAAAATTGAGCCAATCTGACATTTAAGTGGGGCGGGTGTGTCTGCCGATTATCACAGGAACATGGTATAGCCGCTTTATACAGCAGTTTTCGTCACCGTCGAAGTCAGGCCTTCCTGTTGCTATTGTGCGGAAGGACTCGGGCAATGCGGAAGAACTGATAACTGGTGAAGGGAGGCGATCACGGAAATCACGCAAGGCGGCCGTTGATCCTCGTAGGGTTCTACTGGGATTTGCAATAATGTAAGTTTGCATTTGCAATAATGTATTTTTTAATATTTTATTGCAATAATGTAAGTAAGCATTTCAAAGAGGGAAATAACTTAGGCAAAGGAGCGGGGAGTAGAGGACAGGAATGAATGAGAAAGCTTCGGTGTGCATTTATGATTATATATGTGCATGTGTGTTGTCGTGCTCGCTACATACAATCCTACAAAATAAAAGCTAAAAAAACATCCTTGTCCCAGACGGTTTCATCGGACTAGGAGGTTGAATCCTGACAGTCTGCCCAGGATGCATTTGACTGATTGATAAGCACTTGCCTCGCCCGCCAAAATTGGCGATATCCCCGAGAGTATACTCTAGTTTTTGAATTGATTGATAAGCACTCTAGTTTCTGAAAAGTGGTCGACCGTATTCACAGCAACCCTGCAATCCTAGCAGACTGTCGATCCAAACCTCTGACAAGAGTGTGCATGTGTGTGTGTGTGTGTCTGAGGATTAGAAGAGAGAGAGAGAGAGAGAGAGAGAGAGTTTAATTCTTAAACTTTTACCTCCATCGCAAGTAACATGGAGCACAATAAATCTGTTCAAACTTCAAACTTGAAACCCCTTTGCCACCTATATGTTTACTTTGTCTTTCTTTGGGGGGGGGTTTACCCCTTTCATTTGTCCTTGCAGATCCCCTTTTACTACGCCGGTCACGTACAAGGCTGGCCACGTTGATTCGGGTTGAGCGCCAGCTGCCCACACCCCCGTGTGACTTAGCAGCGCATTTGCTCGAGGTGAAAGGAGGCAGAGTGAAGGGGGAGATATACTCCTGTTCATTTTTCTTCAGATCTTCAGCTTATATTTGTCTGTTCTCTTTATGATGCTCATTTGTATACATTTACTAGTAGCATACAAGGGGAGGGAGGAAGGGAACCGGTAGGAGGCAGAGCTCTATAGGGGCAGAGGGGCAGGAGAGTGTGTGTGTTCTCTCTCTCTCTCTCTCTCTCTCTCTCTCTCTCTCTCTCTCTCTCTCTCTCTCTCTCTCTCCATGGATGCTGTCTATCATTGACATCTTATTATTGTTTGTTGAATGCAGGTCATGCATGGCAACCATGCTGCTGCTGTACTTCAGACTGGCACAGCGGCACCTCGTCGGACATGATGACCCTGATGCTACGGTGTAGGGATATGGAGGGGCACTGCGGCAATGCCTTGCAGGCGGATGAAGGGGACAGTTGCAGGGTGTGCATATTCATTTCCTATGCATCTGCTTGCAAGCATTGAAGGGACCAGCAGGGGCCCCGAGGCGTTGAGACACCGTAGGCATTTTTTGGGGAATTCATTTGATGGTGTGGTTTTGCTTCCAGCACGATAGAACAATCAACCAGCCTGTGAAAGTGGATATTTGCCTGGTGTCTGGCTGATATGACTGTTCACATCCACCTCTTCTGGGTTTTCCTTGTTCCTCTCCTACACTAAACCACCTCCCCTCCCCCGCCCCCCGCCATCCCCTCCCGCCCCCCCCAATAATAAATCCAATTCATTTTCGATGTATGTTTGAGGATTGGAAGAGCAGCGATCTCTGTGCGGTTGTGAGCTTTTGGCTCAGCGTAGGCAATAATGATGTGCCAAACGAAAAAAGAGAGAGAGAGAGAGAGAAAGAGAGAGAGAGAGAGAGAGAGAGAGAGAGAGAGAGAGAGAGAGAGAGAGAGAGAGAGAGAGAGAAAAAAAAAAAAAAAAGAGAGAGAGAGAGAGAGAAAGAGAGAGAGAGAGAGAGAGAGAGAGAGAGAGAGAGAGAGAGAGAGAGAGAGAGAGAGAGAGACAGAGAGAGAGAGAGGGAGGGAGGGAGGGAGGGAGGTTGTCGTTTGGTATTGCCGAGGTCGTGTCAATATGTGGTCCCCATTCTTTTGTGTCCCCATTGTTTTGGTTCTTATGAGGACATATTATTATCATCCCAATGAGCCTTGTCCTGTTTTTGTAGAGCAATCTTGGTTTGCATCTCCTATTTCAGCATCACTGCATCAGTCCATTTGCTAAAGGCTCATTCATATCAGTCATTCAAATCAGCGAGGGCAAATGATTCCAGTGTGTGTAGGGATATTGTACGGGCAGGTAGGAGATTCAAACTGCACAGAAGTATAAATACTAAATATGGTATTTGCCATTTTTTGGATTTTGAGATCGAATCCGACGATTGGTAATAAATTTATCAGCAAAGTGTTTTCGACCGAGTCCTCTGTATGTATATGCTAATTGGGCACAACCGTTGCGGGACGGTCTATCCAGTCGCGTAAGGGACTGGAGGCGGATCAAGATCAGTTCCTTTCTTCCCGTGAAGGTTTGCAGTCTGCAGCCGCAACGTCTGTGCAGAGTCTCCTTTTTTTTTTTTTTTTTTTTTTTTTTTTAATCAATTACTGTGGAGGTTTTCAGTCTGTATGGAGTGTCCTGTTTCTTAACTAGGTACTGTGAAGGTGTTGTAGTCTGCAGAGTCTGCACTGTCGCAGTTGTCGCAGCGGTTTCTTGCGGACTCGTTTGTCTGTGTGTACATGATTTTTCACCTCTCTTCACCCCCTTCACCCACGCTTGGTCATTATCGCTGCATCTGGACTGAAAAATGCCCGAAATACAGCTATAATGACTGGGCGTTATAGTCGGGTGAAGACGGTAGCTCTACTGCTATCAGGGGATGAGGGTTTCTCTACTTGTATTTTATTCAATTTTATGCAGAACTTGCCTAGGAAGATTTTCATAACTGGGCACTCTGGACCGGCCGGTCACACCCGGGCATGACGCCCGGGATACTCGGGAATGGGCGAAAAAGAAATAAAAATAATAATAAAAATAATAAAAATAATAAAAAATTGGCAGTGGTCTTTTCTGCTCTCTCCGAGATGAGCCCAAATCCGGGTCTCTTTTCTTTTTCTGAGTGTTGGTTGTCAACGGGGGGGGAGGGGAGTGTAAATGAATTTTAAAGGGGCTAAAGGGGTTTAAAAGGGGGGTGCCTTAGTGTGATTTGGTTATTTTCTTTTTTATCGTCAGTTTCGTGCGGAATTCTGATGTGACCCTCAGCCAAAAGTTGTTTGTACCTCGTTTGCGAGCGCCCTATGCTTGCAGGGGTCCCCTCTATATCATGGCAACCGGCCGGACGTCTGGACCGGAATCCAGACGGTCTGGTTGTCTGGGTATGGGTCCGGTGTCTGGTCCGGTAGGTCTGGATTGGGTCCAATTTTGAAAAATTCGAATTTTTTTTTTCGGGGGGCCTAGGACGTTTTTTGGGTCCTATGCCACCCCCCAAAAATGCCCCTGGTATTTTTTGGCCGTTTCAGGGCCTACCGGACGTCGCCAGACACTACCAACAGCTCCCTCTGCTGTTGTTCTACGCTGGTCGCTCATTGGATGAGGATGAGTCTGATTCCAAAAATGAAGCACTGGCTGCAAAGCACCACAGAACATCAAGCTAGAGAGAGAGAGAGAGAGAGAGAGAGAGAGATGATTTTGGTCAGATCTGAGATCCCGTCTTAGATCTGGTCCTGACCAGATCTCAGATCTGTTCTTACGCAGATCTGAATAACTTAACAGTTTAAATTTTCAATTTTCATACGAATATGAATTAGAAAGTCCAACTTCAAAGTTCAAAGTTCTGTTTCTTTCTGATTTTCGTACTCTTTTTTGAAGTTTCTGGGGGATTGGTCTGTTGAGAACTGGTTTCTACTTTCTAGTGTTGTGTGAGCCTTTGTGAATGTCGGTGACAGTATTGACTCTATTGAGCTGTCAAGTTGTGAATAGTGAAAGACAGTAAGCTGTG